GTTTCCATCCGAGGTCGGGTTTCCGACTTGACTTTGATTATTTTCTTGCTCGAGGCATTGATCATGCTGAGTTATATTGTGTTGTGGGTAGCCGTATGGCGTGAATCCTAGATTGTGAACTGTGGAATGTGTATGCGGCCGTTTGGCAAATTTGTGCAATTGTTCGAATTAAATGGAATTGCATGGTGATATTGATGTGAATGTGCATAATTTTATGTACTTGTATGATGTGAAGAATGCTTGAATATGTTTGTAAACATGTGTGCATTTAAGGGTGTATTGAGTCGTGTTGCATGTGTAGCATCATGATTGCATTCTTGTGTGTCTGATCCCGCGTAGGATCTGCAGAAACCTCGTGTGCCCTTGTGGGGTGTGAGCGATGGTTTAGTTACTTTGATCCCTAGGAGGATCTGCAGAAATGATCGTGTGCCCTTGTGGGGTGTGAGCGATGGTTTATTTTGATTCCGTGGAGAATCTGCATAACAGTTGTGTGCCCTTGTGGGGTGTGAGCAACCGGATTGTGTGCCCGTGTGGGGTGTGAGCAATCCTGAAACATCGTGTGCCATGTGGGGTGTGAGCGATGGGTGAACATCATAGGCCCGATGGGGAGTTACTTCGGTAACGAGCGATGGTTCGATTTTGGTTCTTCAATTGAACCTGCTGAACGAGTCGGTACCGCATTTGCATCTACATAGAGTCGTGAGTCGGTCTCTATGAGTTGCATTATCATCTTTATATGATGTTTTGGTGAAATGAACATAATTGTAAATGTTTAAGTTGAATGCTATGAATTGTGAAGCATGAATTGGTGAATGTGATTGATTATATACGTGTATATTGTGATGTATTCTAACGAGTTGTGGTGAGAAATGTGAATTGCGTGTATGTTATAATTGTGTTTTATGATATATATAATTTTATGCATTGTTTGTTATGATAATGTTTCTCACCCTTCTGCTGTTTTATAATGCTCTATGAGACATTGCAGAGTAGGATGTTGGAGGTCTTTTGTGAAGTGAGTCTTCATTTCTTTTGGTCAGATGGCTCTGATATGTAACACTGGGTAGTTAGGAATTGTTTTGATTCTTTTGTGATACATCTGTGTATGTATCTGCTGATGAATGTTTTGTAAACTTAACTGATGAATTGAATTAGTCTGAATGTTGTATATAATGCTTATGTCAATGAAGTTATTTCAATGTTTAGATGTTTCCGCTTTATTCTAAATGTTGATATGTGGGTTTTAAGTTCTATGTTTTGTTTTTAGTTGAGATTTACCCCTTTTGTTACATATCTTTATGAGCAGGTATTATTTATGTTTCGTTTCGATGATAATGTGATACGCCTCTTTTATACCATGTTTTGATTTATACTCTGATGAAACTTTTATTAATTGCTTATATGATTTTAATTGTTTATTTTTGGGGTATAAAAATGGGGTGTTACATTTGAACCATGTATCAAATGGTTTGCATATTGTAAACCTATAATTCAAGTTGATGGCACATGGTTATACGGGAAATATAAGGGCACCCTACTCATGGCTATGGCACAGGACGGGAACAACAACATTTTTCCAATAGCCTCCGCTATAGTTGAAGGGAGACTACTGGGGGTTGGAGTTTTTTCTTAAAAAATCTCCGCTTTTACGTCTCCCCAACCTAACTTATATTTGATCTCTGATAGACACCTATCAATCGAGAGTGCATACAATAACCTTGATAACGGTTGGCAGGATCCTCCCTCGACCCACGTCTATTGCATAAGACATATCACCCAAAATTTCATGCGGGAAATCAAAGACAAAACACTACGGAAGAAGGTTATGAACGTAGGATATGCACTAACAGAGCCCACATTCAAACACTACCGTGACGAGATCAGACTAACAAACACAGATGCATTAAGATGGATTGATAACCTTGATTAGGAGAAATGGACACGGGCATACGACAATGGGGTGCGATGGGCCACATGACAACTAACCTCGTTGAATCAATGAATTCTGTTTTCAAGGGAATCCGAAACCTACCGATAACTGCCTTGGTAAAGGCAACATATTTTAGGCTAGGCGCACTCTTTGATAGCAGACGTACGAAGTGGGGTTTAGTATTACAATCTGGTCAGTTGTACAGTGATAGTTCAACAACATTCATGAAAGGCGAAGCTGCCAAAGCCAGCACACATATGGTCACAATCTTTGACCGTAATAAAGGTTGGTTCAGTCTTGCCGAGTCGATTGATCACAACGAAGGAAGGCCTAGGGGATGTTACCGTGTTGAATTGGATAAGAGCTGGTGTGATTGTGGGAAGTTTCAGGCATTTCGTATGCCTCATCTCATGTTATAACAGCATGTTCGAAGGCGCGCCAGGACCCAGCCAACCTTTTTTCTGCAGTTCACCAAGTGATAAGTCTATGCAATGTCTACACATGTAGCTTTCAGGTGGTAGCAAAGGAAGACAATTGGCCTCAATACGAAGGCGAAATTGTCTGGCATAATGATTTGATGCGAAGAAAGAAAAATGGTCGCCCTAACAACACGCGCATTCGAATGGAGATGGATACCGCAAACAAGATGGTAAGATTATGTAGTTCGTGTCAGCAACCAGGACACAATCGTACAAAATGTCCTAACGTAGGATCAAGCAGCAGATCATAGTTTCATATGTAACCGTGTCCTTTAAATCAATAGCAAATTTCATTCCATTTAAAGCATACTTAATCGATTACAGTTAACAAACAACATAAATTAAACAAACATAACTTAATATCACAACAACATTCCAAAAATAACAACAACATAAAGACATAAAACAGAACAATGCATCAAGGTGTCTACGATATCACAACCATCAACGTTATCTTCTTGGGTGTTAACATCATCACAAGGACACCAACATCATTTTCCACTTTTCTCCATTCGCGAGTAACTCCGTTTCTCCCTGCCTCCTCGACCAACCTCTCAACTTTCCTAATCTTTTCACCTGCAGCAATATCTCCTTCTAGCCAGCGGTTCAGTTTCCTATGCAAATGCTTCAACGTCTGTGTATTCCACATGAGCACCTTCATCGGAAGCTTTGTTGCTGAAAAATAAACTAGGGCATTTCTTTTCATTAGAGGAAATGTTGGAAACGATTCCTCCGATGCTGATGACGACGACGAAGAACGTTGACTTAGAAATGCAGACATTCTAGACTCCACTCCACTCAAAATTATTAAAGACTTCAGTCTTTTGGTATAAAATGTTGTGGAAAAATATATGCGTTTGCAGTCGTATATATAGAAAAATTAAATAGTACGTGCGTCATATGATATGTCTTAAATACCCTTACAAAATTTATATACTTTTTTTCAACAAATACCAAAAATTTTCAACGTAAGATATAAAAATATCAAAATTCAAAGGTGACCTACTATTATATATTTAAATTTATATATTTAATTATATACGAATTATGTTTTAAAATTATATGTTAATATATATTTATTATGTATTAAAATTAAAACCTATCTATATTTATTATGTTTTAAAATTTAAATCTATTTATATTTAATATGTTTTAAAATTATATACAAATATATGTATTATTTTATAAAACTATATCACAAAAACTATATTTATTATTTAAATTAATTTATAATTTAAAATTTTAAATATATTTATAATTTAAAAACTATATTTATTATTTAAATCAATTTAAATCAATTTTTATTTTAAATCACAAATATATTTAAAATATATTTTAAAACTATATCACAAATATATTTATTATTTTAAATATATTTAAACCTAAACCAATTTAAATATATCACATAAAACAAATAATATAAAAATAAAAATAAAAACCAATAAATATAAAAGAAAAATTGAAAACGAAAAAAAAGAAAAAGGGAACAGGCATGATTCGCCAATTGGATTGGCGAATCCATTAAAGCCCAACACACATTCGCCAGATCAAATGGCGACTTGGTTGAAGAGGGGGTGCATTCGCCAATTGGATTGACGACCCAACGTTGAAATATGGTTAGTTTGAGAAATATTTTAAAATTTTATTTTGTTTGAAAATTAATTTGAAATACTTGGTTATATTAAAAAAAAATTCATTCCATCACATTCCATCCAAATCCTCATTTTTTTGTTCCATCCAAATTGGAGTGTATGTGATGGGATGAAATATTTTTAATAAAATAACCAAATAATGGAGTGAGATATATTTCGCTCAGCTCCGTTCTATTTCTATCCATCCATCCAAACATAGTCTTAAGACTTCTGTTTCATAATTAATTACAATATAAATATAAAGATATTTTATAGATAAACTCTTAGGTACCCATCATAAGTAGTTGAATATTGGTATCTTTAGTGCAAAATAATTTAAAATATTAATTTATTTTTAAATAAAATATATATAAAAAATAACATGACATTAAATAGAATTGTTTTATTGGACAAAAATATCAATCTCCAACTAAATCTAAGTATTTTAGATTACAAATGGTCCTGATGAATTGACGATATTACTTTACATAATAATTAATTTAAAAAAAATTAAATGAGGAGTAATAATTAATCTAATAACCTAAATAAATCAAACAAATATTCGAAAAAACAGAAAATCAAACAAGTGATGGTTCAAAATTAAATTTAATTGATATATACTAATATTATAAAATTTGTTTACACTATTAATCAATCACTATTATATATTCTATTAAATTATACTGTAAATTTTAAATTATTAATATAATATGACAAATTAATAATTTTTTATTAAAATTTTACATTTCGAATTTAAACTCTTCAAAAATTTAGTAGAAAAACAAATGAAATGTGAAAGAAAAGCACTTATATATAAAAGTAGAAAAAAAAGACATTTAAGATGTAGTAAAGTCTTAAGTATTTAATCTCTTAATTTATCAAATTTAATGAAGAAGAAAAAGCGTAATAGAGAATGCTCAAATCGAAATACAGAACCCATATGAATGAACATGACTGAAAATGCTTCCCCAGAATAATCGATACACTGTTCCGACGCTATTCTTCCTCGCATTGTTCCTTCTCTCTATCTTTTTCTACTCATTCTTTTTCTTCAACAGAATCACTCTTCAAACACCTCTCTCTTATCCTTCAGATCTCTATATCCAAGTCAAACCTTCTCTTCTCTCTCCTCCTCCACCTCCGCCGCAATTCTCCTCCATCACTTCCACTGTCGGTGCCAGTGTCGCTGATCACGAATCTGTTGATGTTACTGATTCCGAGAATGCCGATGATGCAGGTGTAGGATTGAAGGGATGCGATTTGTACACGGGAACATGGGTGGAGGATGAAAATTATCCGATATATGAACCAGGTTCTTGCCCTTACGTCGATGAGGCTTATGATTGCAAAAACAATGGAAGGAATGATACTCATTATACTCAATGGCGGTGGAAACCTTATGGTTGTGATCTTCCAAGGTTTGTATATCTCTCTAACGCGTTTCTTAAGATTCCTTTGTGATTTGGAATGTGCAATGCTTTTCGCCTTTTTGAGAGTAGCTGTGTTTATGTTTGATTAGTTGTAACTAAAAAAAACTTGTCGTTTCTTCAATGTTACTTTGGTAACTAGAACAGAAGTAATTTGGTTTGGTTTATGGTCATAACATGCTACTCCATTTGTTATGTGGTGCTACTAGATACCAATGTGGGTTGGTTTCTAGTGGGGTGAAAATTGATTTTGGGTGGATTCCTTTGGTTATGGAACTAGAATTATCGATGAACGGATGAAGTGTACTCTTATTACGGTGGTTCAGATCACCAATGTGGTTGTGCGGGGTGGACATGCAAGGTTAACACTCCCCAAGTTAAGTCAGTAAGAAGAAATATGTATGAGTGAGATGGATTTAAAATTACTTGAATGGGGCACTTTTTCTCTTATGTAGTGGGAACGGTTGAAACTGTACACAAGGAGCCGGCACGCTGTGCGGACAGTCATCCAATTGATCTGGACGGTGGATGGCGCGTAAGAGAGTTGTCCAATTGATCTGTTCCTCACGCCTACTTCCTCTATCTTGCCTTTGTGCCTTTTGTCTTGGGCCTTTTGAAGGGCCCAAAAAAGGATAGATTTTAGTTAAATGTGAATTTAAGATAAATTGATTAATGTAAGGATTGGTTTTAGTTAATGTGAATTTAAGATAATTTGATGAATGTTTGGATATGTGCACAAGATAGTGAGTTGAACAATAAGTTTGAGTGTAAAAATCATGTTTGAAGATTAAAATTACTATTTGTATGTTGAAGATAAAACTACTAACAATTTGAGTCAAATTCAATTCTAGATCCTCCAATCACACCAAGATCAATTTTAGGTTTTCAGAATCACTTTTGCTGCTCCATTTCATGTGATATGATTCAACTTTTGATGATCAAAATGTGTTATTGAGAATGTCATTTTTAAAATTTAATGCATCAGAGAAGGCTGTTACAAATTTAAAGGAAAGTTTTACCATAATGTTGTATTGGATTAAATAGTGGACAATAAAGAGCCATGAGTTCAATGTTGGGGAAAAAAAATGTTATATTAAATGTGTGGGTCACATAGGACAAGATAGGATTATAAATTAGAAAGAAAAGCATTATGCAGAAAGTTGCAGTGGCACTGGAAATAGAAAAGAAGTTAAAATCATGTCTCAAGTTATTTGGACAGGAATGGAAAAGACATGTAAAATCTCCAACTCGGAACAATTTTGAAAAGTTTCAAACATAGCTTCTGTTGATATGGTGAGAAAAGTTGAGTTCTGTCTAGCAAATGACAAAAATAGCAAAAGACTCATAATGCAATAGTGTTTTTCAAGCAGCTAGCCTTTACTGCTCATGTGTTAGTAGTTTACTGGAAGTTATTTTTTTATGTTTTCCATTCACTTCTTTCACATATTACTGTAGGTTTAGTGCCAAGGACTTTTTGTCAAGACTGAGAGGTAAAAACCTAATGCTGGTAGGAGATTCTATGAACCGGAACCAATTCGAGTCCATTCTGTGCATACTTCGTGAAGGCCTGCACAATAAGAGCAAAATGTATGAGATACATGGTCATAACATAACAAAAGGAAGAGGCTACTTTATTTTCAAATTTGAGGTAAATTTTCCTTCTTTTCTTGCATATCTAGATTCATGCAAGCACCAATTGCATGACCTACTTTGTATGATTTTCTTTTAGAAAAAAAAATTATTTTCAGTCTTTTCACTTCCTTGGTAAGTTTGTTTCTTCCAAGATTTTATTGGCGAGAATAAAAATTGTTTGCAAATTCTAACCCAGTTTGTATCTTAGAGTAATTATATTTCTTCTAAGCTTTTGAAGCGCTGCAATTCATTATGCTAAGCTTTTGAAACACTGAGCAGGACTATGATTGTACAGTGTCATTTGTGAGATCTCATTTCCTTGTGAGGGAGGGAGTTCGCTTGAATGCGCAAGGGAGTTCAAATCCTACATTATCAATAGATCGAATTGACAAGACATCTAACCGTTGGAAGAGGGCTGACATTCTCGTCTTCAACACCGGGCACTGGTGGGCTCATGGCAAAACTGCTCGAGGGTTAGGATACAGTTATTTCATATTTCATATTTTGATTGATTTTTGCATTCAAATTGTGTACACTCAGTTTTGGAAACTGGCTGTGCGAGTGCATTTGTCTTCCTCATGTTTATTGAATTCTAATATGGTTAAGTAATGTCCGCATTCATTCAAATAATTGCCGCACATGATTATTGACCTGTTTTTGTAACTTCTCTTAACACTGAATGTTCCCATACATAACAGTATAATTCTATCAGTCATATATACTCATTAGGAAATATCGTACACTGTTGTCTAACACATTTATCTCGTGCAGAATAAATTATTATAAAGAAGGTGATTATCTATATCCAAAATTTGATCAAGTTGAGGCATACAGAAAGGCTATAGCGACGTGGGGAAAATGGATCGACAATAATATCAATCCAGAAAAGCAGACTGTTTACTATCGTGGATATTCTTCTGCTCATTTCAGGTATCAAAGTTTTTTTTAGATATTTTTCTGTTGCATAAATTCGTTGTTCTTGAGTCATATCATATTGCTGATGAATCTTTGACAGGGGTGGAGACTGGGACTCAGGTGGATCATGCAATGGTGAAACCGAACCGGTTTTGAGTGGTTCCATCTTGAATAACTATCCATTGAAAATGAAGATAGTGGAAGAAGTGATTCAGAGAATGAAGATTCCAGTAAAGTTATTAAATGTCACAAGGCTGACTAATTTCCGCAAGGATGGCCACCCATCTGTCTATAGCAAGAGCTTAGTGGATGGAAAGAAAGTCTCCATGAGGCGGCAAGACTGCAGTCATTGGTGTCTTCCCGGGGTCCCTGATGCATGGAATGAACTAATTTATGCCACTTTGGTTTTACAGCAAACAAATTCAAGGAATTGACTCATAAACTCCTCTCTTTGGACGAGTTTATTTTTTGTGCGGTAAAAAAGAGAAAAGGTGTATTGAGGATAGTGAAAAGTGTACTCTTAGTTCTACACCATTGCAATGACAATTGTTCAAACATGAAAGAATCAACAGAATAGTGGAAAAGGATTTTCCATTAATGATTGAATGCACACTCCATGAATGAAGTCAGCAGAGTCAGGTATCATTTCGTCCATTGGATCTCGGTCTCTTCGTTTGTTTGATGTGGAAATCCTTTGGATAAGCTTATTCATCAAGTTTCTCTGACATGTTAGAAGAATAGATAAGTTTACCAGGCTTTGGGGTGTAGGTTTGAACCTTAACAGATTTTGATGTATGAGGTTCTGTGAATTTTTTTTTATATTGTATGTAACATTAGCTTCACCTCATCGGTGTCATTCTCACACGTAGAGGTCAGGTTTGTCTCTCTACATCTCTATTTTATTGTTCCTGTTTGTTATCCTCTCCTTTGCTTTTATTGTGTTTTATGTTTAAATGTTTTTTCCCCTCTTCTCAATATGAAAATGCAATGCCATTGGTTAAAACTATCACAAACCCTTTGTTTGAATGTTATGTCTCTCCCATGCAATTTTACTTTTGATTTTTGAATTAATAATAACCTTACCTATGTTTTTATTTTCTCTATAAGTCAATTAACAATAGTTCCTGTACATCTTATCTCAACTCACTTCATAAAAAGTCGATATTGTTAGGTTAAACGTTAACATAAGATTTTAAATCCTGATTTTTACAGTAGTTATGTGTACGAGTTTTTAGTAGTTATTACTATTTCCTGTACGAGTTTTATTTCACATCTTCACGTAAGGGGCTCTTACAATTGTTTGAATTTGTATCAGTTGTTATCAATTTGTTTGCTTATAAATAAACAGTTATGCTTTTATTTTCATTTTCATTGTAACCACTTTGCTGTTATGTTTTCATTTTCATTGCAAGTCTAAATTAATTTCACATTCTCGTGTAAAAAAATCATTCTCTTTTCTCACATTTGCATACATGAATAACTTTATAAATATTTAAAAGAAAAAGCGTTTGACTAAATTTTTATACTTTAACAGTATTTCCTTTTTATTATTTTAAATTCTTTAGTTTTTCTTTAGCTTTACTTTTCTTGGATTATTTCTTAAAGAAAGTATAACATACTAAGTTTTAATAAGTGAAAGATATTTCAAAGTAAAGATGAATCTTTCTTTCACCCCATTTGTACTTGATACCTCCATAATGTCTATGTTTTTTTTTATCATATTACCCTTGAACTATTTAATATTTTCATTTGAAAAAACAATTGTACAATTTTGAATTTTTATAAAAGCTCTCTAATTTTTCGGATTTTTTAGAGACACTATCGCATATTTCCGCGTGATGACAAGTGAGTTTGAATTTTTTATGTATTTTTAACGTTTTTTCTAGATTTTTCTTAAATTTTTATTAAATATTCCAAAAAGCCTGTAAAAAATACATATTTTTTCGGATATTTTGAAAATGTCGGATTTTAAAGTTCTTCCATATATTTCAAAAAATGCAACAAAAAAAAAGGCATAAATATTTTTGAATTTTTCAAAATAATTGGAAAAAATGAAATAACTCAAACGAACATTTAAAAAAAACCGGAAATATTTATGCATGTTTCCGCATCTTCAAAATATCCAAAAATAGTTATGCATTTTCCGCATTTTTTGAAAAATTCGAAAATGTTTATGCATTTTTTCGCACATTTAGAAAAGTTCGAAAATTCCATTTCCCCCCACATTTAGAAAAATCTGAAAGGTTATAAAATTTTGTTTTTTCTTTTCCCTGAAGACTCGAAGCACAGATGGTTTGATTGTTGGTTGACAGAGTGGAAGTGATGTAGAAGACTCACATCTCAGGGCAGGGAGAGTGGTACTGAACCAGCTCATACAGGAGGCGGTTGGCTGATCATGCTCAGTTTCGTGCACCATGCGTTGTCCAGCGTAGAGGATCTATACTTGCTACTAGATGGACGAGAGATAATGGGAATGAGCCACTTGATATTCAGACACCATCTGCACTGGTTCATGATGCGTTTAGATGATGGTAGAAGCAAATGTGTCCCATCCGACAGAGGTGCCTCATCCTTATGAGGCTGAGGCAACGACAACTACAAAAGTTACTCCGCATACAGATGATGAGGCGCCACCTACTTATGATGTGAAGGCTACTCCGCTTGTTGAGACACATGTCACTACTCCTGCTTCGACAAACCCGTTTGTACACACAAATGAGGGGTTTCCTGGTGGGTTCATTGACACTTCTGTTCTCACAAGATATGTGGACCATGTGAGCTTTCAGGTTATGGAAAGGAGAGGAATGTATATGATATACCGTTCATGTTACTTTATTTATTAATGATACTTTAAAATTAATTGATCTTTTTTCTTTTGTTTGTTACAGAACTGGATTCCGCATAAGGTGCCCTCCCATGGGATGAAGCTGAAGAAGTTCTTTGACGTTGTGATGCCACTAGAGGTGAAGCAGATAGTTGATGAGTGCAGTTTCTTTCCATTTGTGGACAATTTGCTTACCATATTGGACGATCAACTATTGACAACATTTGTTGAGCGGTGGCACAAGGAGACATCTTCATTCCATCTTCTATTTGGTGAGATGACGAGTACATTGGATGATGTCTCATCGCTTATCCATATTCCGCTGAAAATTAGTTTCTTCATTGCTCATATTATTAGTCAAGATACCGCACATATGGCAGTTGTACAATACTTGGGGGTTATTGAGTTGTAGGTGATAGATGAGTTTAAGTTTATGAGGGGTGCTCACTTTCGCATATCTTGGCTTCAGAATAGCTATAAAGAGCTAGTGTGTCAGGTTATGTATGAGGCAACTGCTAGGGTATACATGCTATACCTTGTAGGATGTACTATCTTAGCGGATAAGTCACATGTATATATCGATGCTAAGTATTGTGGCTATTTAATAGCCTTGGGCATGATGGTGTGCTACATTGACGATTTTATACTCTGTCCTTGGAGAGGCAACTGTTTTTTAGACCAGACAGCTTGCCAGTTATATGAGTTTGTTTCAGGTATGAGTATTTCTTATTATGTTAGTTATGTTTATGATATTATTTCTAGTTATATGAGTATTTGTTATTGTATACAATGCTGAGTATATGAGCATTTCCCATCCATTTGTGATAGACATGTTGTTATCACCACTCTTGGGTCCCCACATGCCAAGATATGGATGAGGACACATGCATATTCTGGAGGTGTTGTGGAGTACATGAGGAGGATTGAGGCGCTAACCGTAGATGATGTCATCTGGACACCCTACACATGCCATAGAGTGGATGAGGAGGTCGATGACGCTATACTTTTTCCGGTTACCTGCGATGAGAGGAGTTAGTGGCTAGAAACTTGTCTCAGAGGTATCCATGCCAGTATGGATATGTATAAGACATTCGACGAGCAGTCCTTACTATTTCATCTAAGAGAATTGATAATTGGTTTTGTGGTAACATTATGAGTACTGCACGTTCCATTACAGATCATGTAGTGGAGGTAGATTTCCCCTCGGAGTGTGTGATGGGTATTTGGATTGGTACCTTACTGTATCACATCCTCGCATCATCCCACCTAAGCAGCATGGAGATGATGTTGGACCTTCTCATGTTGGATCTTCACATGATGGTTCTTCTTATGCTGATGATAAGGGAATTCCTAATGACATTGTGCCGCCTCCACCACCTTCACATGGTGCAGATGACACTCAGTGCCTGCAGATGATAACAGGATTATGGATAACCTCATAGATTTGGTGAACCCATATAGAGAGGTTTATAGTTTGGTAGTGCATGCATCACACATAGCCCGTGGGGATCTATTTAGACATCATTATTATTTTTATGTACTGTTTGTATATCATGTGCCGTACTACTCAGACATTTACACAATTTTTTATTAGATAACATTTTTGTACTTCCATTGATGCATGATGAACATAACATAATATTTGACAAACGGTTATATAACTTAGGCAGACGATTATACAACTTAAGAAAACAATAATATATAAGAAAACCTAAACACTACCAGATGATTCTAGATGTCTCAACATCTTGATTATGTTGTCGATATATCTAGAAATTGTCGTCTCAAATTCGACCGGTCTCTTACTTAGCCTACAGTGATATGCTTTCCATATAGCTTTCATATCTTCATTAGTCTTTAACTCAATAAGGTTGTATTTCACCCTACCATCAGTATCAGTCAAATCTTCGTGAAACTCAATCTTTCTCAGCTTCCTATTATCAGTGTCCGACAACAATTCATCCAGCTTGGATGTGAAGTAGGCGAGACATGTGGCACCCTTCGGAAGCTGAAAATCTACGAGAGTTTTCATCCCGTTGAAGTATACTTCTTCCTTGAACAGAAACTGAGGAAGAGGCAATTATGATGTTATGCAAGTTAACAACACATGAACCCTATTTATACAACTTTGGAGTCGACGTGGACCATACAATATGGTCGGTGCAATCACATTCGTCTAAAAGTATCGAAAAAAAGCCGTAATCGTTCAGTTGAGCACTCTTTTATGACTACCGAATTTTTCAATAATTGACTAAATATTCGACAGTTTTCAATTTTTTTAATATAAAATCGGTACTATGTAAATATTTCAGATATTTTCAGATCTTCGGTACGCCAAATATTTTGCATACACTACCAAATTTTTTGTTTCAACTACTAGACATTTCATCCGGATTTTTAATCTTGACTTCTCGCAAGGGTAGCTTGGATACTATTGAAATATTGGGGGTGGCAGGAAGATTCCTCCAATATAAATGATATTGTTAGAAGATATTTTTTATCTTCATCGAAGTAGTAGTTCTTATAAAAAACATATAATAGTATTATCTTATGCATAAAAATATTTTTATATTTTCATATAAATATTTATATAACATTATGATTTAGCTA